TTATCAGTGATTCAACAAACAACTTCACACACACACACAAAAAAAGGGAAAACAAAGCTTTTTCTTTATAATTTTACTTTCTAGATTTCTTATAGGAGCTCTGGTGGCATAGTACCTAAGACATCTGACTGCTAACCAGAAGGCTGGTGGTTCAAACCCCACAAACACTCCTTGGAAGGAAGGCTGGGCAATCTACTTCTGTAGTGATATTGCCTTGGAAACCCAAGGAGGGGCCGCTATGAGTTGCATCAGACTTGACGGCAGTGAGTTTGGTTTTTGTAGATTTCTTATAGGTATAGTTTCTATTCGTAAAAAGAAATTAACAAAACTAAGAAAGCAAAAAAAATTAAAACTATGGGAAAATACAAGATTATGAAATCTCATTTCAAAAGATTTTTGGCTCATCCTCTCCTCTTCACACTCCCAAAAGAAGATAAAAGGGAAGAAACACTGTGGACCCTCCAGGAATGGGTGCAGATAGGGGAGGCTACAGATTCAGAAGAACGAACATTCTTTAAAAGAGTAAGCATCCATTCTTATGCAGGGACCAAGTTAATATTGTGTGACATGGGTGTAGAAACCGCAAAATGAAGTTATATTCAATGGGCAACAGTTTAAACTGTGACTGCTTTTCATTTCCATATTTGATGGCCACAGTCACCATTTTAATAAATTTAAAAAAAGGAGTGGCCAGAATTACATACAGGAACATTAAAATAACAAGATGAACAAAATAAAAACAGTAGAGACTCATGGTTTCTAAAATCATACCAAGAAATACTATAAAAGAGAAGACAGCATGTAGGTAATTAAGTACTAAACACAAATCATAGAACAGTTAGTTAAGGGAAAGCAACCATTTTAGAATGTTATTTTAAATTAAATTAAAAGGTTAAAAAAATGAAAATAAAACCAAAGTGGTAGCATGGCCATGAGGAAAAATCAATGCACCAGGAGGTGCAGACATGAGTTTTAAACCTAGTCCAGCAGCTAGGCAGCTAAGAGACTGTTAGCAAAATATTTAAAAAATTAGGAGACTGAACTAAACCCTAAGGCTCTCTGGTTATATGACTCTTTAAGATGTCAAATACAAAATTAATACCTGTTAGTGGCAGCTTGCATGTTGCTATGATACTGAACATGTATGTGTCATTGGAACTTCCAGAATAAGATGAACTAGAAAGAAAGGCTTGGGGATCTATTGCTGGAAAAAAGCCACTGACTGCTGCAGATTCCAACGGTCCAATCTGCAACTGGTAATAGGGATGGGCAGCATTTTATCCCATTGTGCATGGGGTCACCGTGAAGTGATGGTCGACTTGACAGCAACTAACAACATGTTGATAAAAGTATGTTTTCAATGTTCTTTAAAATACTACAAAGCACTCACATAGAAAAATACAGTACAGAGAAATGAGTAACAGAAAACCAATGCTTGCAGGGCAAGTATGAAGCTTACACATTTCATTTCTGTCAGCGATAAAAATTATTAATCTCTCAATTATACTTCAAATGAACTAGTCTATATTCTGTTTATGAATCATGTTATCATTTCCTTTGTTGCTGTTGTTTTAGCATATGCTGAATATTTGTGCTTGTCCTCTTTCTTATTGTGATGTGAAGGTTTATCATTTTTCTTTGAGGCTTACCTATGATTTATAATTTTCTCCCCGAGTTTAGAACAGTCCATTCTATCTTGCAATTCTCTTACTACCTCACCATTTAGAAGTTCTGTAACTACACAGTTATTTTCCCTCTTTTTGTTTGTAGTTGTCCTCACGTGCCAGTTGATGTCTCTGGTTCCCTGTTTACAATCTT